AAGTGACAGAAAAATTGAGAATATATACATATAGACATGGAAGAAGACGAAAAGAGTCCCCGCGAGTCGTGTACGAGAACAGCCAGATGGCCGCCTTAATTCTTGCGGAAAGAGAATAACTTCTGACACGGATAGACCGTGCAATCGAGGTCAATCAGACAAGAACATGTTCAATAGTGAAAGAAATGAGAAAGATGAAGTAAAGGGATATCATCAAAGTCATAGCAAAGAGAATGATGGCAGTCGAGAGGCGAAAAAACTTTGACTTCGTTCACGTCGTTGGCATCATGGTCCAGGTTGCTGCATCGCAGTTCACTTCCTCGAAGCTATGCAGCATGCTGAAGCCCATTCCAGACAGGCAATCGAAATTGCTGTCGCCATCAACCTGTAAAGATAACGTGTTAACATACTGCAGATCGAGATGCAAACTTAACCCGTGAGCCGGGAGAGCGAACGGAATACTTTGGAACGCTGGATAAAAGGAACTTGAACTTACGCAGTCAATGACAACGGCCTCTGCACCTTGTCTCCGGATTTGCTTGATGCCCAGTAATATGAGCCCCTGCATCACCGTAGCATACTCGCCAACAGACGGAGAGATCACTGGAGACGATATGCCTCCGCTCGACGGTTGTGTGGCTTTCAGCACAGGCATGTGCTCTGCCAATGGCGACCGTCCGTTGTATATCACCACAGTACCCAAAATTGCTCCATCGCTCGGCCGCGTGGCCCGTATTATGCCACAGTTTGGTGCTCCTCCCAAAGCGATCTTGTATATATCAATAAGACCTTGTCGAGAATTCGTCTTGATGTGATCAAGGATAGGCTCCGCATAATCCCATCCATGAACAAGGTCGTAAGAGACGTCAGCATTTTTCAACCCCTGTACGAGGCCATCAGGCGGCGTCCATGTTGGAAGATTCCGCAGCACCACACTGCAAACCGGTCGCGAAAGGGCAGTGTTCCAGCCCAGGTTGGCAAACCACTGGCGTAACCTCTTACGCTCCACTGGATTGGAAGACGGAATGCCTAGGTATATGCCTGGGAGTCGAGAACCCAGCTGAAACCTCCTCATTCCCTTTCGCTGAAGAAGTGTTCGGATTGCGCGGTTGTGCAGTGAGTTCCCAATAGACAGTTTCCGTCTTGCAGGATCAACAATCAAAGATCCAATAACGCCTGTGCCCGTCGACCTAAAGAAATAAGTCGAGCAAAATCCGTACAAAGCCTGCGTACTGCTGTTTCGTACAACAAAATGCGCCTCGTCAATTTCTTCTCTTCGTAATAAGAAGCTGCTGGATGTCACACCTAGCAGCTCAGAACGCTGACCCTGCGCGCAATCCGCTCTGACTGCATCCAGTAAAGTATCCAAGGACTGAGCATCTCTCTCTTCATTCCAGTTTTCTACAAGCCAGTGCTGCCGCGCTTGATGGAGCTTCTGGCTGCGGCTGATAGAACCCGGCAATGAGCCTTTTGGTGTCAATTCTCCATAGAGAACTTTGACCAACGCCTCCAAAGCGGTCTCTGTGAAATCGTAAGTGCAGACATAGGTACCAATGGACGTATCCATGGCAAAATCATATGGGGAACTAGCGGCGATGACGATCATAGGCTTCTCTCGCGGCTCGCCCGATGGAGTAAACTGAGACCTACAGATTAGAGAGACATGTTTCGTAAAGCCATGCTGGTATAGGTTCCTGTTTGCATCGGCAGTGACGACAATGACGGCACTAGCCCGATCTATTAAATTCTCGTGGATTGGTCGGACGCCATTGGCCGTGTAAGATGTGTGAAGAACGCGACCACTTCTTTGACGTGAGAGAGAACGACCCAGTTCCTTGAAGACACTCTCACCGCTCAGCACAGAGGCGGTTCTATCTGAAGCAATCGGGTCGATAGAGACATTCATGTGCTCCGTCACCGAACGAGAGACTGCAGATGCGGGCAATGGCTTGACTAACGGAGTCAAAAGTAGCAATTCCTCATTAGGCTCAATGATGTTGGACAGCGGAAGCAGATTCTGCTTATCACGTACAACTGAAATAGAGTTGTTATATGCCCTTTTGGAGAGGCTGGTATGAGATGGTTGCATCTGCATTAGAGATGGCAGTCCCGGAGGGTTCAAGGCTTGGTCCCAAGAGGTGCATTTCGCCTTCATTTTCAAAACCCTGCGCAAAGATTGCTCTATGCGAGCCCGACCAATGATGCCGTTCTCCACCCCGAGCTTCAAACCATTGATCGCCTCCTGTTGCACCGGAAAGGATCTGCACAAGAGGATGATATCACAGCCCGCATTCTTCGCCATCACTGTTCCGCCGCCGACACCGATATTGTGAGTGAGAGCCTCCATCTCTAAGCACTCAGAAACCACCACACCATTGAATTTCAGATCTTTCCGCAGCAAGTCATCAACAACCTGCTCACTCAGACAAGCATGCATGACATTCACGCCGGCAGACGACATTGAGACACCTCCCACCATCATCGAATCTAAACCGTGGACTATGGCATTGCGGAATGGGACCAGCGCTGTCAAGCTGAGCTGCTCCAGCGACTCGGTGATGATGGGAACGTCTGTTTGAGACCCGAGGAATTCAAGGTTACCATAGGACGGAAAGTGTTTGCCACATGTCACCAATCCTGCTTTTTTGTAGCCTTTCATGAACTCAACGCCATATTGCGACACCTCCTGGGGATCATCGCCGGTAGTGCGAACCCCCAGCGGCTGGGTTCGTACATTAGTCAACACGTCTAGTACAGGGCCAAGGATCCAGTTGACCCCTACAGCTTTGAGCTCTTGGGCTGTAGCGTAAGCGACATCATGAGCCAGTGACTTTGAACCAGTTGCTGCGATTCCCATTGCGCTGGGGAACTGTCGGATGTAGATTTCATCGTACAGGCTATTCACGCCGCCGTTTTCCTGATCCAAGGCGATAAGTAAAGGCACAGGATGGCCAGCATCTCGGGCGATTGTTTGTAGCTCAAGGACCAGTCGCGTTGCCTCTTCTGCAGCTGCTCGCGATTCGTTTTGTTAGCAAAGGGAAGGTTGAATGTCTTTGATAAGTGGTCAATAAAGAGGTGCTCGAAGGGAAGAGGAAAATGATAGATGTGACAATACATTTTAAGTTCTTGGCTGTCAACAGAACTGAGCCCAGATGGTAATTCTCGATAAGAGAGCGAATTTGAGGATTGACTGACGTCCCATCGAAGCCCATCATGAAGAGCTGCCCCATCTGTCTATAAACAGGACGCAAAGGGGAAGACCAAAGAGTCAGCCATTATTCAGTCGTCAAGCAAACTGTACGGACAGAGAAGTAAAGTTGAAGGCCCAGAGAAAACGTAATAAATTATGCTTGATGGACCGAATGTAGACCATGGAATACAGTAAAGACGGACAATTATAAGGGAAAGAAAACAATAAACAAGTGGCTAAGACGGTAAATTTCCTACCTGTCTAGATCCTCCCAGCCAGGGGGCAGCATATCCTCTTTCGGGGCCATCAGGGCCCTGGTTGAGGAATGCAGGTGCAAAACTGAAGGGAGTGGAGAGTAAGGTGACCTGTCAAAGGATTCTAGAGTGTTGTTGATGATGGAAATGAGCGTGGTGTTGTGGCACGATAACCGCAAACGTCGACGTAAGCCGACTGGGGAGTAACCAGATACGGCAATTGAATTAAGCTCCTGATGCTGAAATCTAACTGGCTGGTCCCCAAGGCGCGCGTGCGAGCTGGTAGTAATGTCAGGTAAGTTATCTTGCTAGTAGCTCATATTCCCAGCTTCGAGGCACTTTAGCTACCTCACCTAGGAGGCTAGGACGGTCGATAAGGTAAAACGACGATTATTGATTATGATTAGCGCGCTCGGTACTCCGTCGGCTCAATGCGGGCCAGATAATGGAGATGGCCTAGCAGAGATGGGGATGGGGCACTCGGCGTGAGTTGCTCTAATGGTTACCGGTGAACTGCACAATATTAGTACAGCCTTGCCTGACAGGGGCATCGGCAAAGAACTGTCTGCGGTCTCCTAGTAGAAAAGCGTCCGGGGGGACGGAGAGAAAGCATTGACGGCCCATTGTTTTCCCTCAATCACTCGTGTCAGCGAGGTTCTATGACTAAGAGGGCTTATCACGTGAGAATTGAAGCTCTACCTTACCTTCTGCCTTTCTCCGCACTCTGTACTGATTCTGCAATTCCATGCTGTAACATACATTACCTTTAATTTACAATACATAACAGAACACATGTATGTGTGATTTCAGTCTGTTACAGACAAGCCCGACTTTGGTGAATGAAACTGTATGCAACGCCACAGCCAGGCTACATAGGGTTGCACTCTTCCCCGGGTTTCCATCCGATGCCGAATGCAACAGTGGAGTCGTTCGTTGAAAGTGAAGAGCACCTAATACTAATCAGTAGTAACTCGACAAGGCCGAGTTTCTGCCACTTTCCTATCAGAATATTCCTTTCGGATCGAGTCTACTATGATGCCCATCAAGGTCACCTGTTTCGTCTGCCACCTCTTTTTGTAACGTCAGGTCGATTGCCAGCCAGATGGAACCTTTTCGTCCAACCTACTTCATAATAACTTGCCTCTTATTGATAACCAAATAGTATTCACATTTCCCCATTCGCCTCCCCGATTGGTTGCGCGTTGACATCACCCTCGATGGATGGTGGTGCGTCATCTGCAGCAGTTGAACCACGGACTCTTTCTCGTACAGTACAGAGCAAACGGGCGCAGAATATTTGAATGGAAGTTCAGCAACAAGGGAGCTTTGCTTACCATGGCCACGGTTAGTAGGCAAGTATCATGAATTTAGGGCGAGGAGTAAGAACAGTCATACCTTGTAGTATTACGAGTTGCACGGAAGAAGAGGAAGTACCTAGTATAGTAGTAATCTATGCAATACAGTATATCGAATCCTTTGGAGTGGGAGGTATCATCCTGTCATACTCCACAAGCCGATCCAGATTGACAGGCTGAGTTGCAACAGATCCATGGACGATGGGGCGAACATTCAAATCCTTCGTAGCAGACGGCTACTTTATCAGCACCCTCCTTTGTCCAAGTTGGACATACTTTTATATCTAATTTTCACACACACACACGGCGCGATAGATCCATTCTACTTCCCTGACCGCGAACGAAGCCTTTCTTGCCATAACCAGCTCTGATATTACGGGTCTCAGCCCTGCCATCTTATCAGCCCTTATCGGCTAAACCTTTTTGGTGAAGTGACGTACAACTACAGATAAAATCACCATGTAAGTATGCCTTCTACTTCTGCCTGCTGCCACTTTCATCGAGACGTCAAGAGGCGTCAAGAGGCGTTTTCAAGATGGGAGATAAATAAAAAGAATCTTTTTCGCTGCTTTCTGACACGTTCTGTAGGAGAGTTATCATCAGGGAGAACGCTCAGCAGGCGTCGGAATATATTGCCGACTATATCATCAGTACGTTCAACCTTTATCTTGTCGATGAGGCTTACTTGGTTACTTCTCTAACACTTATTTCTCTGCTACTCAATAGGTCGTATCAAGGCTTTCAAACCCACTCAGGATCGTCCTTTCGTACTGGGTCTTCCCACTGGCAGCAGCCCCGAGATTATATACAGAACACTTGTGCAGCGCCACCGGGCAGGTGAAATATCTTTCAAAAATGTCGTGACGTTCAATATGGTATTTTCCTCCGTTGATCATTATCATGGCTCTTTGTATGCCGCCGTTTGCTGATCGACTCAGGATGAGTATGTGGGTTTACCACGTGACCACCCCGAATCCTATCACAGCTTCATGTACAAGCACTTTTTCTCGCACGTCGACATTCCACCGCAGAATATCAACATCTTAGATGGCAACGCCCCAGATCTGGCTGCCGAATGTGCTTCCTACGAAGCCCGCATTGCCGGCTATGGCGGCATCGAGCTTTTCCTGGGCGGCGTTGGAGCTGATGGCCATATTGCCTTCAATGAGCCGGGATCCTCGTTGAGCAGTCGAACCCGGGTGAAGACATTGGCGTACGATACAATCCTTGCGAACTCGCGGTTTTTCGACAATGATGTTGAGAAAGTTCCCCGCATGGCTTTGACAGTTGGCATTCAGACCATAATGGAGGCCAGGGAAGTGGTCATCGTGGCAACGGGCGCTCACAAAGCTCTTGCGTTGAAGAAGGGTCTCGAGGGTGGTGTTAACCACATGTGGACACTGTCAGCACTGCAGTTGCATCAACACCCGCTAGTTGTCTGCGACCGCGATGCTACCTTGGAGTTGAAGGTCAAGACAGTCCGCTATTTCGAGTCAATCGAGCAGTCTGGAACAGATGCTCGTACCCAAGGCCCGCCACTTGTCTATCGACCAAGGACCTATGTACCTGCTCCATTGGGGGCGGGCAAATTGCCGCAGCAGCTCACCCCCGCATCAACACCTCCTAAAGCTCCAAAGGACCTGAGAATCAACACAGAGTTCCAAAACTCTATAGAGGAAGATGAATTGACACCTGATAGCATGTCTTCTCGATTGGTAGACTCCGCTATTGGCGGCTTGGACTCGACGCTCAAAGCCGACATGATGTTCGATCGGATGGGCGCGAGAGTCGTATCCCATTGAAGGGAGTCGCAAGTTTCGTGACCCAGGTTGCTACAGTCTATTGGCAACAGAAATGCTGGACAACTCCGCCGGAGTATTTACTATTTCTCTGAAGGTTTAAGGACTTAGGATGAACATGCAGCAGACTTGTTCGCGCGCCGTTGCTGACGACTGTTTGTCATATTTATGAATGTGTTGTGTTGTATAGGCCGATTTTGCTTTCTTCATAGATATATTTGTTCGCTTTGCATAGCAACTAGTTACTGCGTATAGAGTTGGCTCCTGATGATCGTCTCAGTTGGCGTTCTTGCTGTCTGCGAGCTTTTTACATATCCCGCCAATTTATTATTGTTGCAATGGCTAGTTTCAAGTACTAAGATAAGTTACCTGTATTGAGACATCTTATACATAAGAGGGCAAAACGACAAACACCGAGGAGTTGGGATTTGAAGTAAATTTGTTTTGAGTTTTGTTCCAGAAGCTGTTTCGATGTCTGCGATGAGAATGATTCAGTTCTTCATGACTAAGATACTTGATACAATCGCTCCTTTAGCGGAAAATTTGTACACTTTCATTCATTTTGGATTACAATTTCGCAAAGACAGTGGCAACCTGTCCATTCATATCCACCAGCGTACTCTTGTTCCTCACCCAGGCTTCGATACCTCTGCGGCCGTTCTCGACGCCAACACCACTCTTCTTCCAGCCACCCACAGCCATCTCGGCCGGGCTTTCACCCCAGGAGTTGATCCATGTAATGCCTGCTTGGAGCTGGTCGATGATACGATGCGCCATATTCAGGTCTCGCGTAAAGACGCCAGCCGCGAGGCCAAGCTCAGTGTTGTTCGCGCGTCTGACAGCTTCCTCGACTGTATCGTAGTACAGGATTGACATGACCGGCCCAAAAATCTCTTCCTGGGCAATCCGCATGGAGTCGGTGCAGTCCGTGAAGACAGTTGGCCTCACCCAGAACCCATTCTCCAATTCCTTTGGAAGGGAGGGCTTTCCCAGCCCGCCATAGAGGAGCGTTGCCTTGTCCGTCTCAATGCCATGACGAATGTACGAGGTTACCTTTTCGAGGTGAAGAGCGGAACTCAAGGGTCCGAAGTTCGTTGCGTTGTCAAACAACGGCCCGGGACGTATATATTGCATCTTGTCCAAAAGAGCCTTCTCAAACGCAGACTTCATGCTTCTCGGGACGAACACTCGAGTCCCATTAGTACAAACCTGGCCTGTACTAAAGAAATTGGCCATCATGGCCCCATTTACTGCATTTTCAAGGTCCGCATCAGGGAGGATGAGCAATGGGCTCTTGCCTCCTAGCTCCATCGTGACGTACTTCATTTGTCCCGCGGCGGAGCCGGCCACCTTCATTCCTGTTGCAACCTGGCCTGTGAAGCTGACCTTGGCGATCAGGGGGTGAGCGGTCAAATAAGCACCCACATCCCCAGCGCCATAGACAACATTGAATACCCCAGGGGGAAGTCCAGCTTCCCGGTAGACCTCAGCCAGCATCTGCGCATGCAAGGGCGTATATTCACTAGGCTTGTAGACCATGGTATTTCCAGCCGCAAGACATGGTGCTGATTTCCAGAGAGCACTGTGTCACATTTGTCAATTGCTAAGCCCGGTTGAGAAAAAGAGACAAGCAGATGCGATATGTTTCGCGCGCTCCGTCTGGCCAAGAATCCCAAAGTACTTACATCTGGAGAGGATAGTTCCATGCGCCGATGCCAACGCAGACTCCCAGCGGAGCCTTCTTGGTGAAGACCCATGCATCTTCTCTTAACTGCGTCGTCTCGCCATTGAGACCGCCTCCTCCTACCAGGTTGGCGTAGTATTCCAGTACATCTGCACCAGTCACGATGTCGACTGTGCTTGTCTCCGAATAGGCCTTGCCGGAATCTAGAGTTTCGAGACGCGCGAGTTCGTCATTTCTCTCCCGCAGCAACGCCGCGGCCTTTTGTAGAATGCGCGCACGAGCGATATGAGGGGTTTGCGACCATGAGGGGAACGCGCGGTCAGCAGCTGCAATGGCGGCATCTGTATCAGAATTTGAAGCAACATGGATTTCAGCTAGTGGAGTATTGTCGGCAGGGTTTATTGTGCGAAAAGTCCGACCGGAAGACGCCGACTGGATTTTGCCGTCGTAAAATGGGTGACGAGGAGGGAAAGGTAGGTCCGCCATGTTCTTTTCGCTTTAGGGGGGGGCCGCTGGAAATTTGTATAGTGCGATCACGACGTAGATATCGAAATATGATATATGAAGGATAGATATTTTGCCCTGTGTGTAACTGGCAGGTTGCTCAGAGTACTAGAGAGGTATTGATAGTACTTCGCAGATAGGTGCAGATAGTTAGCTTCATTATTGACTGGTGATGTATTCATATCTGAATCACACCGCCTCATAATTCCGCCCCCTCTTCATTTGACGAGGACAGGCTCCGCTGTGGCTACGACCACTAAACCAACTCCACAACAGACCTATTGGTCAACAGAAGGCCTGTGAGATCGTGGTTGATTTCTCCTTCCGAGCATCCGAAAAGGTCCTGTTGTCCCAGTGCTCCTCCGTACTAGTAGAGAATCAACAGCCAACATTATAGGCAGTCTACTGCTCGAGAGATGCTGCGCTGCAATGCCATCTTTGAGGAGAAAATCCACAGCTATTCCTGAGTGCTGGGCCAGTACGGCTTCCTCCGTAGATACTGCTCAACAATGAAACCAAGTTTTGATGGTCTGGGACTAGCCACGCGATGGTCAAACAGCGTCAAAAGCTAGAGAGGCTGGGATGGATGGGGAAATTAAAGAATGGCCCCCAATAGGAAACACGGGACAAGACCGATATCCAAATAGCGTCGTCTCATGAAGTGAACTTTCTTGCATTTTACTACTCCATTCGGACATGATTAGCGGAGTCTCCAGTAATGATAATCTTTTAGGTGAAAAGAACTCATGCACAACCGTGCTGTCTCACTCTTATCATATACCAAGGGGGTAATAGAATCCAGGATCTACTCAGTAGCACAGTGACGAGCCTCCGAAGGATGTTCAAACCGTTAATGAATTAGTGCGACTGCCCTAGTGTGAGTTCGTGGATCGTGGCGTCGTCTTAGTCTCAAAGCCCTCGTGAGTCGTGTGGGCCGCGGAGTCGTTCGATGACGTCGAGTGGCCTTTTCGTCCGACCAGAGATCACAACCCGTGGTACTTGAAATATAAAAACGAAGGCGGTCGACGATGAGGTGCCTACTCCAGTACGGAGGGAACCCTTCTAGGTACCTGCATAGTCTTCACCTAGCATGCAGATCGATGTAGTAAGGTAGTTACATTACCTCTAGGTGCGGTCGATCAACCATCGAAGCGGAAGATGACAATTATAGTCCAATCCGAACCCAGTATCAGGCCATATTAAACCGTGTTTCCATTATCTAATACGGCCTGCGTTCTTCTGGGGATAAGAAGACTTTCGTCTTCGATTGGCTGATCCTCCTTTCGGCACCTTTCTTGTGGTGGGGAATAATAGTTAGGGAAGAGGAAAAAGAGGAAAAAGATTGGCGGCGAACGGATGGATGGCCGCCTGGACACCTGAGGCCCATGTCTCTTAAGTTAATTCCGTCCTTCAATTTAAAATCTATCAGAATTCCGTCAGGATTCTACACTTCTTTGCTTTTATCTTTCTAAACCGTCTCATTGCGTCGCCCTCTTTACCTAGTCTCTCCTCTCTTGCCGATCTCCAGAGGTGCTGGAATCCTCTTGTTTCCTCACCAATTCATCCCGGGTTTGTTCTCCGCACCAGTAGAAGCGCCCTTCAAACATTCATTCCATCACTATCTTTCGACATGGCCACCACAAACGATTTCCCTGCATCCGACGTCAATAGCTATGACTATGTTATTGTCGGCGGTGGCACGGCCGGCTGTGTCATTGCTAGTCGGCTGGCTCAGTACTTGCCCAATAAGCGGATTCTAGTCATTGAGGGTGGTCCCAGCGACTTCATGGATGACAGAGTCCTTAATCTGCGGGAATGGCTCAACCTCCTGGGAGGCGAGCTGGACTATGACTATCCCACCACAGAGCAGCCCATGGGTGTGTATTCTTCGCACATTCTCTGTTCTATCCGCACGTCCTTGCGGACTACTTAGCAATTCTGTCAGTTGCTAACCGTCTTTTCATTCTCCAGGCAACAGTCATATCCGTCACTCTCGCGCCAAGGTCTTGGGTGGTTGTTCCAGCCACAACACTCTCATTTCCTTCCGCCCCTTCGAGTATGACTGCAGAAGATGGGAGGAGCAGGGTTGCAAGGGCTGGTCCTTTGAGACCTTTACTCGTGTCCTCGACAACCTGCGGAACACTGTGCAGCCCGTTCACAGCCGTCACAGAAACCAGCTGTGCAAGGACTGGGTGCAGGCTTGCTCGACTGCCATGAACATTCCCATCATCCACGATTTCAACAAGGAAATCCGTTCCAAGGGTGAACTGACCGAGGGTGTTGGTTTCTTCTCCGTCTCGTACAATCCAGATGATGGCCGTCGCAGCAGTGCTAGTGTGGCATACATCCACCCTATTTTGTGCGGTGAGGAGAAGCGCCCCAACTTGACAATCCTTACCAACGCGTGGGTGTCTCGCGTGAATGTCGAAGGAGACACCGTCACCGGTGTTGACGTGACTCTGCAATCCGGTGTCAAACACACCTTGCGAGCCAAGAAGGAAACTATTCTTTGTGCCGGTGCTGTCGATACGCCGAGATTGATGCTCCTCTCCGGTCTGGGACCCCGTGAGCAGCTGAGTTCTCTCGGGATTCCGGTCGTCAAGGATTTGCCTGGCGTTGGTGAAAACCTCCTCGATCACCCAGAGAGTATTATTATCTGGGAGCTCAACCGTCCTGTTCCCCCCAATCAGACTACTATGGATTCGGATGCGGGCATCTTCCTGCGGCGCGAAGCTCCCAATGCGGCTGGCTCCGATGGCTGTGCCGCCGATATCATGATGCATTGCTACCAGATTCCCTTCTGCCTCAACACGACCCGTCTGGGCTATGAAACCCCCGTTGATGCCTTTTGCATGACACCCAACATTCCTCGCCCCCGCTCTCGTGGTCGTCTCTACCTCACCTCGGCAGACCCCTCCGTGAAGCCGGCTTTGGATTTCCGCTACTTCACTGACCCCGAGGGCTACGACGCCGCAACCATCGTGGCCGGTCTCAAGGCGGCGCGCCGGATTGCGCAGCAGGCTCCGTTCAAGGATTGGATTAAGCGTGAGGTGGCGCCGGGACCTAAGGTCCAGACTGATGAGGAATTGTCAGAGTACGGTCGCCGTGTGGCTCACACGGTCTACCACCCTGCTGGTACCACCAAGATGGGAGACATCTCCCGCGATCCCATGGCTGTTGTCGACCACCAGCTCAAAATCCGTGGCCTGAAGAATGTCCGTATTGCGGACGCTGGAGTTTTCCCTGAGATGACCACCATCAACCCGATGCTGACTGTGTTGGCTATCGGAGAACGCGCTGCTGAGCTGATCGCTGAAGAGGCAGGCTGGACTCGGGAGCAGCCCAAGCTGTAGAAGGCCTTGTTTTCCAAGGTTGGGGTTTGCTTGTGCATTCCTGGTACACAGGGGCGCGGGGCCATGTAAAATGCCGCCTAGTTGGCAAAGCACTCTTATTTTTTTGTTGAGATGCCTGTCTTCGCCCATGATAATATTCCATAAAGCGACTGACTTCATGCGGGATCATGAGTGGTGCAAAGTTGGGTGGTGTGCTGGTATATGGATCATTGGGGTAAAAAAGCGCGCAAAAGAAGGAAGTTCAAATATGATGCTTTTTAGCATGGTGTTGGCCTGGATTGCATGATCGCTTTTTGTGTACAGATGCTGGCTCCTTTTTGGATATTGTCTCCAGCAGCAATTCACACAGGTGAAAAGATATGCTGTATATACCAAGAGGTGACAAAAAGCAAAATAAACAAGAAATATCACGAAATACGAGCACTGATACATTTAGAGGAGCCAACGGACAAGTCTAATGATGTATTTGTCTTTAAATCTAGTTCATAGTCTGAGCAATATCTTTATCCTCATATCTATAGCACTTGCTGCACGTGGCTAGAAAGGACAGAGGGCCCTTTAGGCAAAGGACCTGTAGCGCAAGATCAATCATCGGAATCTCTGGATCGGATACAGGGCACAACGCCGGAAAACAGAAAGATAAAGACCGAGGAGCAGTCAAATCCACAGTAGAGCCAAAGTATGCTAGTCGGGTTTGGAAGGAAGTGTGCACAATGTTCGGAGCAATTACCAGAGGCGAGAGAAGAAAAAGAGGAACGGATATGCCAGGGTGTCTGCTTCATACTGTAGTCGTAGACGTAACTCCTTTATCAGTGTCATGGATCTTGACTCCCCGTTTCCACACCTGGCAGACAGTTAGCGTGGGCGAGTCAGGGTCGTCTTCCTCGCTCAGCACGACAAGGTCCGCATCGGCGCCGCTGTCCAGGGAACCCTTGACGCCTTGTAACCCCAGTAAGCGTGCCGGAGTCGCCGTGGCAGCGTTAATGGCATCAGCTATAGAGGCGCCAGACCAGCGCCGGAAGTTGTTGATGCACTCGATCAGGGTGGCCGAACTACCTGCGATCTTGTCGGATCCCTCCAGGGTCAACCGGGCTCCCGTCTTAACGATGCGCTCGCCGTTCGTCCAATCATAGACACCGTCGGGAAGGCCGCAGAGCTTCATTGCATCGGTCACGAGGACGAGCCCGTCCTGATGGGCGTTGTATGCGATCTTGATCGAGGTCGGGTGCAGATGGATACCGTCGGCGATGATGCCGTAGAAGGGCCTGCGATGTTCGCTCTGGCCCAGCAGTCCGAAAATGCCTGGGTTTCGGTGGTAGAAGGGCCGCATCGCATTAAACATATGCGTGACCATTGTAGCGCCCGCTGTGGTCGCTGAGAGCGCTTGTTCGAATGTCGCATCCGAGTGACCGATGGAGCAGACGATGCCGGCAGAGGTCAATGAGGAGATGGTCGATACCATGTTTCCCACCTCGGGGGCGACCGTGATCATCTTGACTGACTTGGAGCTTCCGGTGAGATTCTCTTTCCCATAACACTCCTCTAGATCCTCGAAATTCTGGGCAGCACGAAGCACCTCGGTCTTGTGAATGCCATTGCGGTTTGGGTTGATGAAAGGTCCTTCGACATGGGCTCCTAACGATTCCGCGCCATCTTCAGGACGATGGTTGCTGCCTGAAGGGCCCAAAGAGGGCAATACCTGGAAGGGCACCCAGTCAGATCTGCTGATTTTCGGACGCGCAGGGGCGGTCATACCTTCCAGTAAACCTCTGGGGTTGAGCTGACAACAGTAGGCAAGTATGAAGTCACACCGGTCCTGGCAAGGCCCTTGTTCACCAAGCGCAAACCCTCATTATATTCCTCCTTGGACGCTTGAGGCACAGAGAAGTCAAAACCCTGAGCGCCGTTTAGCTGGACATCGATCAATCCCGGAGCGAGAATACGCCCGCCGAGGTCGATGACCTCATCCGGCGAAAGATGTAATCCGTAGAAAGCCTCCTGATCTTTGAGAATCTTGCCCGACAGAGAATCGATCCAGACATCCTGTTCAACAAGCTCGGAACCCTTGACGATGCGACAGTTGGTGAATTTGGTGATGCGCGGAGTAGTCGTCGTTTTGCCTGGCATGATGGCTCCGACTCTTTCGTTTCCTACACCTATGATGTACCACCGGGCGGTATTCCGCTTATAATATAAGAAGCGCAAACAGTGAGGATGAAGTTAATCGCCGGGGAAAAGTAGAGAGAGTATGTGGATATATTTTTTGATACCTGCGGATGGAGAATATATGAACAGAGTTTGGAGGCAACAAGCGAAGCAAGGGACAATAATGACACTGCCTGGCTACATGATGGTGACATCAAAGGAACATACGCTGTCGCTCTATGATGGAGGGGCAGAAGGATCAAAGAAAACCGTTATGGGATGTGACGTCGAAAAAGGTAGTGGATGGAAATCCTCGTACGACCTATACTAAGCCAATTCAAACTCCACGTGGATGCGACATACATGGTCATTAGAGGCATGGCTATCCTTTAGCTAATAATGAGGACTTATCAGGCAAACTCGAACGTTAACAAGTTGATTTGGGAGTGCTGATCCACGGATGATAACAGGCTTGCCTCTTCTGTCTGAGGTGATGATCATCATGGGATTGATATCACGTAGGTTATGTAAGCCAGAAGAATCGTACTGTCGAAACTGATTTCGCTTGGTTAAATACAGATTTGGTACGAGTACGATGATAAAACATACGCATTACAAGCGATGACCGAACCTAGGTAATATACTACAATACCAACATCTGAATGAAGGTACCTAGGTACCTACCTTACTCTCCAGACTGTCAGTGAGCATAGTTTGAAGCAGAGAAATATGAAATGAGATAATCATCGGACTGCCTGACCATTTCATTCTCAGTATAAATTCTATTGCATGGGGCATCTATGGATTCCAAGTCATCCGATCTTCATCAGTAGAGTTGGTATTATTTCACCACTTCTCGGTCGGGAAGTAGTGGAATTGATTAGCTGACCGATACTACTTTGACCCGGGGAGCATCCAAGCCCATGACCTGGTGCCCAGTACTACCTCAAATATTGGACTTGAGCCAACGAGAGACTCCGACTGGCCTTCCGCATCCGTACAGTTGCACAGATGCAAACGACCGATGTTACCGTCACCTTGGTTTTTGTTGGTTCTTCTGGGTCTAGCCTGGAGATATATCTAAAATCCAACCATTAGGAGGAAATTTGCAGAGCTTCACAAGTTCCACTGCTCATTTGATAGGCAGTTATCTACACAACAGAGATACGCATCTTACTCGGTCGGTCTTGTCAGCTTATCTTTGTTCTTGAGACTCATGTACTGTGGTTTGCCTCAATTTCGCTCGTATGTTATTAAGAGGAGCAAGCATTGTAAACAGTGATTAATATTAAATAAGACTAAGTCAAGGAAGCCACCATACAACCTAGTAGTAATTAATATCAAGTAGTACCAATATTGTCGTTAAGCATCAGTCTAAGCGAGACTAATCGAATACAACTGCAGGAGACATCTTTGCACTAAGCAGGCGACTCCATCTCATCTGTCACTGTTTCAATTGCCGTCTGTCGCGTGGCTGTCACCTCGACCTGGTCTTTTGAAACTTTGTCTATTGTCTGTTGCTGTTCATGGCATATGATCGATCATAAGGTATTGATTGAAGAGGCCGTTCCTGTTCCCTACACTAATCTCAGTTACTGAGAGTACGACCTAAGACATCCCTTATCCATAATCCATCATCATCATCATCATCATCATCACCATGATCTTGGCCATCTTCTTGTTCGTTTTCATTACTAAGTTGTCCGTGTGATTTGTGTGGTTCTCTCCGCATTCCCCATAATCCTGGAGTTGCTGTGGAGTCCGTTGCACTCCCAAGATCCAAGATCCAAGGGTTCTCAGTTCTCCCCTAAGCTGCACGCTATCTCCTCATCCTTGCAGGTATCACTGCCATATCAACTACTACCGAGTATACTACTACCAACTCGTGCCAAAGAAAAATGGGACACCACACACAGTCCTTGGTATCATATGATTGACTGTGGAAATGATTGATTGGGAGCTCTGACCACTCTTGTCTCGACGCAACCCTTGCACTCTTTCCCAAGGATAAGGTACGCCTCGTTCTCGCTCGTTCTCTCTCTTCAGTTGTATCCACTACATGAGTGTTACTATACAATCTATCTACCATTGTTTGCCTCTTTTCACCTTGTCCCTCGAGTGTGACTTCGCTTATCGAAGACTTATCTATCTGATAATCCATCTTTACGGAGTATCTGACTATCATTAGACTTGGTGTTACCTCTTAGTGCCATTTGAAACTTTTTCTTTTCCCTTTTTCCCTAATCCACTTCACTTCTCTTTAGCTTCTCCTCCCCTCTGATCCTTTTTCTTATTTAAAAATAACCCTTCCAGACACAGTTTCAGAGTATTATTTTGTTTACTCCTTTTTTGAATCAATCAGATTCATTGAACTCGAATGTTTTTGTGGTTGGGGATCCAGCTCAGCTCTCCTCGCATCCTCATCGCAGTCGACTATTTGTTTGGCCGCTCTCCCTCTCGTATTATTCTTCTTTCTCATCATCATTCTTCTTTCTCCTTTTCTCTTTACCCCGGATTCGTCTGACACAAACAAACATCGGCTTTTCCCTCTTGGGAGTAATCCAAGTCGTACATATTTATTTGTGTCGGCCCTCATACTTTATTATATATAGCTCCCTGTTCCCTGTTACACACATACCGACCCCCAGTCATCCCGCATTCTTCCCCCCCTTCTTCTGTTTCCGGCGCAAAGGGTCTTCGTCGATCTTCTCCCCTTGCTGTTTATCCTGCCTCTCTTTGTATACATCTATCTACCTAGTAGGGGCTTGTGTTTGTTTTTTATAAACATACTCTGCATATCCGTATATACCTACCTACACCCGTATACACCTCTTACCTCTTTCATCCTCTCCTTGTTTGCTTGCAGTCCTTGATTACCTATCCTGGTGTATTAGGGCACGTTTGCTGATCAACAAACATTCCCATTGCTGCTCATCACGTCTGATTCACCCGCTGTCTCTTGTGGGGCCATTGACTATCGACACCATCGCGTCTCTTCGTTCTTCTTGACATACAGTATATCAGCATGGCATCCGAAAAGCCAGAAGACGGTCACCAGCCCGAGAAGGAAGGTCCCGCCATCACCGCAGACCCCGAGCCCGGCCGTCATAGCGCCATCACCGGTAAGCCGTGGATGTACAAGCCGTTGAAAATTGGCCCCTTGACTCTGCCATGGTTTGCTTCGCCTGAGGTCCAGTTGGTTCTGGTCTCGTTTGTTTGCTTCCTATGCCCCGGTATGTTCAATGCCGTCAGTGGTCTCGGAGGTGGTGGACAGGTCGATCGAACGGACACCAGCAATGCCAACACGGCCCTGTACAGTACCTTCGCTGTTGTCGGCTTCTTCGCAGGTTCCATCGCGAACCGAATCGGTCTTCAGCTGACCCTCTCTTTTGGTGGTTTTGGCTATTTCCTCTATGTGGCATCACTTCTCTCCTACAACCACAACAAAAATGCCGGCTTCCTTATTTTCGCTGGTGCCCTGCTGGGTGTTTGTGCCGGTCTATTGTGGTGCGCGCAGGGTGCAGTCATGATGAGCTATCCGCGTGAGAACGAGAAAGGAAAGTTCATCGCAATCTTCTGGGTCATCTTCAATCTTGGTGGAGTGATTGGAAGTTTGGTAAGTGATCGTCAATAGGTTTGTCTCCAGGGACGCAGTTTACTGATTCCTAGCGCACAGATTCCCTTGGGCCAGAATTTGCACTCGAGCGCCGGAACGGTCAATGACGGGACTTACATCGCCTTCATGGTTCTCATGGCTCTGGGATTCGTCCTCGCCTGGTTCCTTTCGGACTCCAAGTACGTCGTGCGCAAGGATGGTTCCCGCGTCATCTCGATGAAGAACCCTACCTGGAAATCGGAGCTCCTCGGTCTCTATGAGACTCTTCGCACCGACTACTACATCGTCCTGTTCTTTCCCTTGTTTTTGGCGAGTAACTGGTTCTACGGATACCACTTCAACAGTGTCAATGGCGCCTACTTCAACATTCGTACCCGGTCTCTCAACAGTTTACTCTATTGGCTCATGCAGATGGTTGGTGCTTTTGTCTTTGGTCAGCTTCTGGATCTGAAATCCCTTTCTCGGTCCATGCGAGCCAAACTCAACTGGCTCATTCTCCTTGTCATCACCATGGGTGTCTGGGGTGGTGGTTATGCTTTCCAGAAGCAGTATACCCTTGACACCGCCAAGCAAGACGTCGACTTTACGTCCCATGGCTACGTTGGTCCCATGTTCCTCTACATGTTCTATGGCTTCTACGACGCAGCTTTCCAGACGTGCGCATACTGGTGAGTCTCCACAATGGTCTCTTTCGGATCTTTGTTACCTCCACCGAGTTTGTGTCGGAAACTCTGACAACTTCTAGGTTTATGGGATCCCTCTCCAACAACGGTCGTAAACTAGCAAACTTTGCAGGTTTCTACAAGGGAATTCAATCGGCTGGTGCTGCAGGAATGTGGCGGTAAGTCTCAATCTCCGTATATGGACTTGCAAGAGCATCCTCGCTGACATCTCCGATATTTGCAGCATGGATGCAGAAAAGACCCCCTTTATGACCCAGTTCGCCTCCTGCTGGGGATTGCTTGTTGGCAGCCTATTGATTGCTTCTCCCATCATCTTCTTCAAGATCAAGGATCACGTGGATGTCGAGGAGGACCTCAAGTTTTCCGACGAAACAGCCGAAGATGTGAATGGTATTGCCATCGAAGACCGCAGAGACTCAACGAAGGGAGAGCCAGTCACAAAACATGTGTCCTCGTCCTAAGTCGCTCTTGAAAACTTCGATCCCCTTCACCCGAACATATTGACGTGTTGTGTTGGCGCACAGTATGACAACATGATCCTTCTTCATGTTTGTATTGGACAGGACTTTTGGTTATTATTGCATCACTGCGTTTTTGGTCATGTTCCGACTCCTTCAGAGGGTTTGGATGTTTGAATGAGGCTCCTGGGCATGTATCTATGATGGACGACCACTAATGTTCTCTCTAATTGACCGACGAGGCAGGCCCTAGCCGATTCTCCTGTCGCCTTGTCTTGCCGTCTCTCTTCGGTTGAAGGCATTGAGCGCTGGTGTCTCGAGCTTGGATGCCTCGTCAGATGTGCATCAGGTTTATACCTGCACATGCATATATATCTACTGATTAATCAATACCGTTCTACGTTGAGATGCTGATTCTACGCGTGGGGATAATGATCTAGAGCTCGCATAGCAGACCCGCTGCGTGTGACTGCGGCAGGCGCCGGTATGAATGCATTGCTTCATGTATGTGCACACCAGATTCTGGGGCAGCCTTGATCCTAATATGTACAGATCTACAAAGACATATACACACGCACAAGATCAGTAGACACTGGTGCTAGGTGTCGCGGTAGGCAAGGGCACGAAAGACTCCGTATGCGTCGCCTTGGCCGTGCCGTTGGTGCTGTAATCGGGACCAATCTGGGTAGTGCCCTTGGCAATGTCCCAGCCGAAGAGAGTGCGGTTGAAGAGCTGCAGCGACGCGACAGGCTGGTAGTAGGGGACCTCGTGGCCGGCCTGGTACACGCGAGTGAACGAGAAGTTGCCGTACTCGCGGGTTTCGCCATACTCGATCCCATCGACGACCATCGGGGTGTACCCGGCGGCGCGGAACTGCTCAGTATGGGTGTAGTTCACCGCAAGGGAGACGGCCTCGCCACCGAACCAGTTGCAGATGTAGTCGGCGTCACCGTAGATGAGCGACACGCGGACGGGCAGGTTAAGGATCTCCTCCAGGTCTTCGAGGAAATTGGGCCAGACGAAGTCGCCGGTCTGCTGGAAGGCGTAGTATACATCATTGTTCGACTGAGTGTAATTGACGTTCACTCCGATGGCGTTCATGACCGAGTCTTTCTTGAGGTAGTCGACGTAGTACGATTCCGGGGTAGGATCCTGTGCAGTGAATCACGCTTCAGTCAGGGCTTTCATGCTCCTCGGATGATTGATTCCAAGGTCATTCCCATTCATAGAACGCGCCCTGCTCCCACTTACCTTGGACGGGTGCCGGATGTCATATACGCCACGGTTACCAAATGCATAGTATGGTCCCTCTAATTATATGGTCAGTAAGAAGTTTACCTTCTCATTTAAGATGGACCCCAGGACGATTGATGAACGTACCGACATTGTCTCGGCACATGTTCGTGGCCTCGCTGCAGATCGCGTAATCCGCCAAAGAAGTACGGTTTGTCTGCTTGCAATATCCGATTTGGTCTTGACAGCCATTTGGCATCTTGTTTGCGAATTTCATGTAGTTGTACACGGTATCATTGACCTATAATATTAAACGATGTAAGTAGGCTTGTTCCATGACACTGCCTCGTAGGGTCAACTCACGAGTTTGATACCATAGGTATTGTTCACTGCAAACTCCGGGTAGTAGTTTGCCTGAGAAAGACATTAGCAACTCCCAACGCCAAGCACCAACTATCGAAAATGCAAGCATACCTGAATGCCCTCGTCGATGATACCGTTAATAATACCAAGGGAGTTAAAGTTGAGGTGAATTCCTTCCACGGTACCATTGGCGATTTTCTCATTTTGCTCATGGAAGTAATTGAAGAACTGCAAACATTAGTGCCAAGCGCTCAAGAAGAGGAATAGGAAACTCACCGCTGGGCCATAGTGGCTTTGCGACGGGCGTCCCTAAGTCAGAAAAGATTTCTTGCATAGTGACTGTTGAAAGGCATGACCTACCCTCCATAACTTTCGGTCCACAGACTGAAATCCTTCGACTTGATTCTGTGGTCCAACTGCGGTAGACCACCCATGAAGCCTTGAAGAATCTCCCAAGCGGCGTGAGCGGCGAGATCAGTAGTGTCTGTGAGAACAGATTGTTAAGAGGTCTGGCTGAGCAGTATGTGAAACGGGGTCCGGGGTGAGGAATTACCAATAAGGGTAGCGTCAATGACCGGGTATCGGCCTTGAATGCCGGCGATAGATGCATTTTCAAAAACACCAGTGAAAGGATTCAGCGAGCCGGGTTCTGCCTCGCTGTAGGAAAATCCTGTATTGCAGTATCGTGAGTTGTGAGCCCGGAATATTGAAGAGCGCCTGTGGTCTGATGCATACCGACGCCCAGAGGCTGAGACAGGAACAGCATATTCGAAACTTCATTCCACGAGTGGGGATTGATAGTGGAGTCAAATGTGGAATTGATCCTGCAAGGACCCAATTCTAATTGATCGGTAATCAGATATCAAGCCATCATCTAGGTCAGAAGATGGGTGCGCAAACCTTCAAACAAGCCAATCAAAGAATCACTTCCAGGACCACCGTTCAGCCAGAGAGTAATGGGGGCATTTTTGGGGTCGTGGCGTGCTTCGAAGAACCAGAAGAAGGTATGAGACTCTGGCGAAATGTCAACGTAGCCAGAGTATGACTTGACCCCAGGCGTGGTCTCGCAAACGCCCTCCTTTCCAGGTTCCTTGTAGCGAATCGTAACATTGTTGGCAGTATGGATAGTCTTCACTCCGGTAGGGTCTTTGGGCAACTGTCGTTTATCAACAGGCACCGGTTGATGTATCGCTGGTGCCCAGATGGCCGCAGCCACTGGCAACAAGGAAATCAAGCCGTAACCACGCATTTTCGGGGCCTTGGAGGGTAGAAGCTGCGAGAGAAAGATTTGCTAGCACTGCGCCAACCTCAAATCCCTAGGCCTTGCACTTGCAGCACAGCTCATGGAGAACATGGTAAGACCAGGGTACTCGCTGGCTTTAATACGCGAGAGCTTGAGCTTGCGAATTAGCTTACAGCTCAAAGCGTGAGGGGAAAGTATCTGCATTGCGGGGAAGTCTTGGATCCTGCAAACTAGTTCGATAATGAGGTTGCATCGACGATACCTGGAAGGCTGGAACTTCTGGAAGATCCAACCAGCGACGAAGCAAATAGACAGAGTAAGCGTCTTATCGGCAATGTCTCGTATTCTAGGTGCTGATAGGTCTTGATGGGAACGAAGCACTTCCAAGACCACAAGCTGATCATCGCTTATGGCGCGATTTCAGTGTCTCCACCCATGGTAGTGTGGATCAGTCAACAAGTCTCATCCTTCGGACATATTATTAATGAAGATCGACAGCCGTCAACGAGTGTGATGAGAAGACTCTCATGGCTATGAAGACCTTGGAGCACAGGTCTCAGCTTGGGAAATGGAAGCTCGAGAGAAACCAGACGGGAAGCGGCTCAAGTGAACGAAGTAACGTCCTGGGTTCTTGATGAGAGATTTCACGAGAGACGATGGCAGACTCCAGAGATCAGGCAGTGTAGCAACTGGACAGATGCGTTAGGCTCGAGCAAGTGGAGGATCAACAATGGACTCCCACACGACCTGCCAAAAGAGGAATGGCGTAGAGCGACAAGCCGCGGCCCCCGACGGATCAATGTTGATAACCTTTGTTGATTGATTGATTGATTGATCATGTTTGGTCTCAAGGCGAGCAAATATGCTATGCTGCCTGACTCTATTTCACCACAGAAGATGGATTTATTTTCGGTAACTCAATTGAATTGGTCAAATATCTGGTCCGCAATGCTAAATGATTTTGTGGTTCGCTCCGGCTTTGACCCAGACAGCTCATTTTTACGTCCAGATATCGATTAATACGCAGTGAACGCGATGGAGGTAAGCAGGGCGGACAAACCCAAGCAATGACCATCACAACAAAGCACTACGGTGTAGAGTCTTGGCCTGTCTTGTCATCGCCTCACCGCTGCTTGGCCGTGGTCTAGATGATGATCTAGTTCGGAATCTAAGAAGACACCTAGAGGGCTGTCAGGTATTGTAATCTTCAATTTTACTGCGCTCTGAGGCACCAGGAAGGCAGGAACACGAGACAGAGTCTCTGCTGTTTGATGCTGTCCGACATTAAGTAAATGACGCTATTCGACCGGTCAACTTATCGTTGAAAGACGAAAAGGGTCAGAGACAAATAGAGTGCGTCACAAAACAAGTTCATTGCTCTTTTCCTCGCCCTGCTTTTAATACCCTCTATGTAGTCAAACAGTCGCAATGTGCGCACACGCAAGAGTGTGAATATAGTGATCCAAAACTGATCATGTCCCAAAGACCCATTATACATAAACTCCATGAAGGAAAATCATCTCTCGAGGCATGCAAAAAGTGAAAGGAACAGAAGAAAAAGTCATATTGCTCTCAATTCTAGAGCGTTCATCAACCACTTAGGCAGATACCAAGGTCGGCGTCGACATTAGCTGTAAGACCGTTAGACTCGGAGGCCGCTGTCTCAGTGTTACTGTGCCCGTTTGTCGTGACCATGCGGTCGCTGTGAAGCTGCCTGTCACCCAGGCTGGCGATGTCAGCTTTGTTTCCGGTGTCAAAGCCCATCAAGTCAGACATGCCATTACTCGGATCCATGGTGAACCCGAATCCCTTGCTGTTGGGGCCGGATCCGTTGAGATTCATATGATCGTCGGCCGTGAAGAAGTCGGCACCGGCATCATCAAAATTGATCAGAGCGTCAAAATCATTCTGAGTCACCTCGGCGTCATTAGCCAAGTCCATCAGCTCGCTAATACTCAGTTCCGAGTCCAAATTTGGAATGCTGAAGGCATCTCGGTGATAGTTCCGGTTGATGTTGGCGGTACTGCCGTTTTCACTGCCATCCGAGGGGGGAGGAGTAGAGGCGAACAATGTGTCGCCTTCTTCGACGGATCGAGTAGTTCCAACCACCGCCGGCTTCGGGTAAGTCAGATCGGGGATCTTCTGGGCAAGAGAATCCGGAGGA